TGTTCATAAAGATTTTGTTTAGAAGTTTAGAACCAACAATATTTTTTTCCCCACTAGTTGCTTTCCCTCCCTCACCTAGAACTTATTTTTCCTTTCTTTAATTTCTTGGTGTTGGAGTTGATAGAGAACTGTGTAGCCCCTCATCTAGGTATGGGCTGCACCTTTGCATTATTGCTTTCCTTCCCATATATGCTATATGACATAAAAGGCATTAAGCAGCTTTTCATATATACTCAGCAACCAGCTGCTCCCATGGATCATTTTAGTCAATAATTTCTAACATTACAGACCTGTTCATGAACCGTTTATGCACAGATACATAAATGAAGGTCTGAGGAGCCCTTCAATGACAGAGGACCTGATCTATCATGGGAAAGGATGAGAGCAAATAAGACAAAATTCAAAGCCTGGGTCAGATTCTGCTCTGAGTGGGAGCGTAAACAGGGAATAATTCCACCAAGAGCAAAATTACTTCCAACTTAAAATGCTGTAAATGAGATTGGAGTTTTTTCCTTTGGTATAAACAGAGCCCACACCGACAGAAATGTAAGTGACGGTACAAGTCATGTATCAGGTGTAATTTCATCAAGTGACACTACTTGTATTAGTTTTGTGGGTGTGCAGAATGATTCTGAGTGGGACAGAAAGGAAGATAAGAGAGGCTTTCATGTCCTTGTAGTTACTCATCTTGCAACTTACATCTTTGGCATTTAAATCATAATTATATTTCACATCTCTGGAATGCTAAGTGGTTGTTACACCACTTTTCCCACTAACACTCATCTTGTGGTAGTCACACCCATTGTTTAACTTCTACCACCCTTCATTTCATTGCAGAACGCAGCCCACAGAGGTTAACCACAGGCGGATTTGTCAAAAAGTACAGGGCTATTGTATTAGCTGAGCAAATTTCAGGTGTTTACTGCAACAAATCAACCCGGGGAGAGGTCAGAGGTAGGTCTGCACGCACAAACGCATCAGTGGGGAAAGTGGGAGGTTGGAGGCTGTTTTGGAGCCGATTGTTTGAACGAAGCCTTTGGAGGAAAGTCAAGCATCGCCTTCCAAAGAAGGATTTGCTGGGTGCTATGGCAGAGTTCTGACAACGCAGGGGTGTATTGTTGCTTTGATCTACATGCAAATCCCTGTTATCAACATGCAGATCAAGCACATGAAATATCCCATTGTCTCCAAACTCGCAAAGGAGGCCACGATGAAGACGCAAACTTTTTTCATTGTTAATTAAAACAAATAATCTTTTAAACTATAAAATGTAATAACAAGTTTTACTTTCAGGAAACAAACACGCATGCCTTTGGATTTTTAGATGGTTGACACAAAAGTTCAATGATCTGAATAATCAGTGAAACACCAGTCATCTTTTGCTATTTGTGGGTCTGTTTGTGATTTAAATTTAAAGTTTCTATAAGAATAAGGAAAGAAATCTGACCCCAATAGCGCAGAGAAGGCAAAGTTAGGACAGAGGGAAGCTGCACGGAGACTGACTGTATAAGAGCAGCTAAATTACAGCTGCTTCCCAGCACGGGATGCTTGGCTAAGAATGCGTGTCCAGCTCTCGCCTCCTCCTGCACAGCTCCTCTGCTGAAGCTGTAAGTCTATTTTATTTCATCCTTTCTTTTCAAGTCAAGCACTAGCTATTCGATTTAAGCATAAAATCTACCAGTAGCGAGTACATAGAGGACTTTAGGAAACAAAGGCTGAAAGTGATAGCCCATGGGGAAAAAAGGGGTATTTTAAAACAATAGATCTCTTCTTTTACATCCCAGCTAACTAGGGCACACATTAGTAACACACACTTAGTGCTGATGCTGAAACCATATTTGCTCAGGGGAGGAGATGGTGGGGAACAGAACTCTGCGTGAAATAATTTGAAAAAGCGGCTTTGAACTTCTCAGATGTAAAATGTTTTATTTAGAAGCAACAACTTCTGTTTGACAGCTGCTTTGCTACTGGCAAGGAGTCCTAAAGACACAATGGCAAACCGCTGGGCTGATTGCCTTCTGAATCAAGCTATGATCACATTTCTGTTAGGGAAATAATGACGATTCAGAAGCACAGCGTATCAACATTATAGTATGGAACATCATCAGCTTCAGCCTGTATGACAATCTGTATCTCATATTTTCAAATGCACTCTTTGGCTAATACTTACTTAAAGAGATGCCAACAGCTGAGTATATCTGGCTTTTTTCTTAAGAGCTAAATTATACCACTTAGCTAAAGAGTGACCCGCAGTCTCTCTCCTGCTGCTAATGCAACAGATAATCAATCATTCCTTTCACAGCTACCCACAGCAACTAGAGGTCAGTAATCTATATTCATCTTTCGTGCAAGTCTGCCAAAATGAGTCTGCGGTTCTTAAGGCAGCAATGAATTTGGTCTATCATTCCCTTGAGGGACAACAACTGAAACAATGAGTTCCTGTGGCACAGGGAGAAGAGGTCACAGATTCCTGTCACAGCTGGGCAGGCCACATGCCTTCCAGTGATACGAAATTTCAAAATCTAGCTTCCACAAAAGTAATTTTATCTTCTTTTACTCAAATCAATGACTTAGTGACCTGTGACAGCTAGTACACCGCAAACATCGACCACATGTGGCTGCAGTACGTACCTAGCAAAGCAGAAACTTCTCTTGATTTTCATTCTTGATTGAACACTCAGAGCTATTTTTTTAAGATTCAGCCAAAACTAAATTATAGCAAAACTTCAATCACAGCAGAAATATTAAATCTCCATATGGTGAAAAACAAACTAAAACGAAAGATCATATTCTTCCATGATGGTGTTATGTCCTCATTTTTACCAATGGCTCAGGCCTTCACATTTTAAGACACTTCCAGCATGCATTAATTTGACTTCAAGTATTTCTGTTCCCATCTACAAGCTGCAGTCATAAATCTATGCAGATTTGGTGAAAAAGAACCAAGTTACTGAATCAAGTTATTCAGTAATGATATTTGAAAGCAAGGTGACATTCACATGGGTTTAGATTTTGTCAAGCCAGTATCCTTCTGCTGGCAAACTGAAGTGCTCTGAAACACGGATCAGCACCTCCCAACCAGCCTCTCTAACTCTTTGTACTTACACACTTCATCAGCTGGGATAAGAACTCTGCCATTCTATTCGTGCCTTGGCTTTCTGATTGAACTTGGATCTCTTTTAAGCTTTCATTTACATATGGAGTGGTCTTTTGATCAGAAAAAGGAAACTTCATGCAAAGAGAAGATAATTAAATAGTAAAAGCAAGGACTTGGATTTTATCACTGGTTTTCCTATGTAATTTCAAATAAGTGAAACTGCAGAAAATTAGGATTCTACAACATTCTCTTCATTTGAATAAATGAAAGTGGAAACCCTTAACTAGTCCCTTTGATCACAGGGTTTTCATCTTCTGAGGTGGTCAAGGCATTATCTGGTTTTAGTAGGGCATACAGACTCCTGCTCTGGGAGTGCCTCCTGAGCCATGGTCGCCTCAGGAAGAACAGAAACGCTGACTTAAGACAGTGTAGAGAGGGAGGAGAGGAAACCAAAAAAAATTGTTTTACATATTAGCCGTTTCCTGAAAAGGACATGGTGTCCAGGTAGACTCTAAAGCAATATGAACTTGTGTCTAGTTTTGTGCAACTCCGTCGTTCAGGCTTTCACACATTTAGAAACCTTTTCTCCTCCTTCGTGTTTAGGGTCTATTAGTCACAAGAGAAAGAGGTTTTAATGCAGTGTAACAAATTTAGTAGGGAAAATGAAGTCTCCGCTATCCTTGGATGGCCTTACTTATATAATATAGAAGCATAAAGAAATACAACAACGTGGACACAAAACCCAGTATGGATTTATGCACCTTATTCATACCTTGGCTTTGAGCCAAATGCAGCTGAATGCATGAATATAAGTATTTCCCAGCGTTGGAACCACTCCCAAACTGGAGAACAGGTATAAATATTAATGCTAGCAGAGAAACAATCCTCCCTACCCCCTCTCTTACTTCGTTCTGTGGGTCATTTAACAAAACTCCTTTCATGGACCCTCTGCTTCAGTTTCCAAATGCTTCAGTCCCAGGACATTGATAGATACGATTTTTAGTCATAATGTGAGAACTATAGCAGGATGTATTTTGAAGAAAAGATTTGCTTTTTGGAAATCAAGTGTATGAATCCCATCCAAATTCAGGCCTTTTGCCAACACAGCCTCATGCAGTACTTGGGCTGGACTCTCCTGCTTGGCGTATGGATCCGTCTTTGGGGCCTCCTGCCTCCCCAACCGCACAGGGGCGGCAGAACACCGGGCCGCTCTATGTGTCCCAGAGTCGTCTCTTGGTGTCTGTGCGGAGAGGTCCCTCAGGCCTGGTGGTGACAGGACAGAAGGTCACCCTCCTGACACGAGCTCCAGGTGAGCATCGACTGCAGGCCCAGGTGAGGGGTTCAGGACTCATGATGCACACCACCTGGGCGCGGGGCCAGCCCCCAGCCATTCCTGCAGCCAGCTGCTGTCATCAGGCAGGCACGGGGACTGGCTGGGCAGCCCTGTGGGTGGACACAGCGGTGGCTGTGGCAGACAATGGCCCTGTGAGTGAGTGGACGCGGGGTGGCTGTGGGGCTTGGCAATCCTTCGCACCACACGGGGCTGATGGCGGCGCTAAGATGGCGCTGGGCGCTCCCCCATTCTTGCCCGGAGCCGCCCGGCCACCAGGAGGTGCTGTAGGCGCGGGCGCCCTTCTGCCCCCTGGCGGCCGGGGCGGCACTGCCCCCGCAGCCGGGCGGAACCAAACGTGAAGCAGGGGAGGGGGGGGGTGGCCAACCCTTCCAACCTTCAGCCTCTCCCTCCCCTCCGCCTTCCCGCACGCCGGCTTGCCCGCCCTCCACCCCCTCGCTTTACCTCCGGTAAGGAGCGCGCCGGGACCCCGCTCCCCGCCTTCGCGCCGCGGTTCCGCCCCGCTAAGCCCCGTCCCCCCGCTCCGGTGGGCGAGGGAGGGCGGCGGCCCGTTGCCTTCCCCTGCCCTCACCGTGCGTGCGGCGTCGGGCACGTCGCGGTTACGTCACGGCGCAGCGCCACGCCGCCGCCAGCTGACTGCTCATCCCCGGAAGTGATGCAGGGAGGGGGAGGCAGTCTCGCAGGGAGCCGCCGAGGTGAGTGAATTGGACCGTGTCTCTTCCCGTCCGCGCCGGGCTGCGGGCGGGGGGGACGGAGACGGCGGCGGTGGGGCTCGATTCGGCTCGGCCCGGCCGGTGGGGCGGGCTGCGGGGCCGGGCCGGCGGGCTCGGCGGTGGCG